TTAGTGCCAGCCCTGCGGTAAAGAAGGAAAGAAGCACAATAGAATTCAAGAAAAGACTCATAGCAAAATACCAAAGTGGAGGAGGGGGAGAGAGGGAAGAATGTGCCTTCTGCAGTGATTCAGTGATTCTGCGATATGTACGATACTAAAGCAGCAGGTATCGATAAAGGCTACAGCGCCAGCCAGCGACAGTGTAGAATTAATAGTGTAGCAAGTTAAACGAGTAAGCAATAGAAAAAAAACATGAAAGTAACTCTCCAATGTTGTTGGATGTGTATTGGGCCAATGAACATACGCCAGCCTGCTACATATCTTCCACCACCCTAAACCTCTGCCAGCATCTCCTCCATGAAACTAATTAAACTAACATCTCCAAGGTAAGTGTAAATATAAAAGTGTAAGTATAAGAGTAAATATAAGTGTAAATATAAAAGGACCCCAATGGAAATATGCTAGTCACCGACTTTTTTGGGTTATCCTAGGTACTTTACACATGTTGCTATGCATGATAATTATGTACATAACTATTTGTGTATACCTGAATAAACTTATTTATATATTAAAATGTAAATATTTCTCATTTATAAATTATATACATTGTTTAAGTATGATAGTGTTGGTGGGCTCTGCTGGTGCCTCCACAATCACCACCACTATGTACGGCTTCTCTCAGTGGCCCTTACAAACCCAAGAACACTTATATCACTTCACTTCACTCCTCTCATACATTATGACATTTTATTCATTCTAGTATATATCATGTTTCTATGTTATTGTTTATTATGTCATATTAGATGAATTGTGATAGATAAATAAGCCTGAGAGATATTAGTCATATTGAAACATAATAAACTCGTCTCCCTCTTGCCTCCTACCTGCCTTCCATACACCAACAAGAGTCAATAAAGGTAAATGTGAAGTTAAATGTTCATTTATCCATTTTATTAGTGCTTTGTATTTATATGTCATTGTTTTCTGTATGTATATCTATTTTAACAAAAAAATTTTTTTTTAAAGATAATACTTTTGGCTGTCTGAAACAGATTAATTGAATTTCCATTATTTCTCATGGGGAAAATTAATTGGGCAAAAGGAAAAATTGGTTAAAGGCAAGCTCTCTAGAACAGATTAATGCCATTACCTGAGGGTCCACTGTACTTTCATACAGTAATCATATTTCTTTACTAAATTAGGTATTTAACCCTTTCAGGGTTTCCAATGTACTAGTACAGCTTATGCACCAAGGTTATTGACGTACTAGTGCGTGTAAATTCTAGCGCCTGGAAGGCCTACATATGAAAGAATGGGTCTATGTGGTCAGTGTGCACAGTAAAAAAAATCCTGCAGCGCACAGTGCATAATGAGAAAAAAAAAACTGACCATGTTTTTGGTTTAAAACAGCGACTTTGCAGTGTATTTTTGTATGGTATTTATGGTTGTATTCTAGTTTTCCTGGTCTCATTTTATAGAATGGAAGACATATTACAGAAATTGAGGTGATCTTGATTGGTTTCCACAATGAAAAGTACCTTGAAATTGAGCTCAAAGTAGCAGAAATATTTGATTTTTGCCTAAATTCAAAAGTATACAAATCATGCCACGCGTCCAATACACGTCAACTGGCGAGTCTAATATTCTTTCACAAGTGCGCTGATATTATTTAAACCATTCCTACACTAATGCAGTAGTCTGCATAACAGTAAATTTTCTGTTTTTTTGTGAGTATAAAAATTCAAAGTGAAAAGCAAAAGAAATGTAAGAGGGGCCTGGGGATGTGACTAATGAACAGAGGAAATGTTATTTTAGTGCCAGGAATGTATTCTAGACCCTATTTGGAAATTGGTATCTTTTGAAATGTGTGAAATTGGCAAAATTACTAATTTCTAACCATTTTATTGGATAGTTGAAATCGGTAAAAGGGTAGTTTCTTGTACTTATTCGATAGAAAAAATGGAGTTGTAGCGAAATAGTTATGATTTTTGTTGACTAGTACACTGGAAGTGGACAAAAATAGGGCTCAAAGTGGGCAAAATCGTCGAGACCGCTAACTTCACGAGAGCATAATTAAGTTTTTCATCAAATTTCATACTTTTGGTGTCATGATCAGTTAATTCTCTACCTTTTCATAAGAAAAAAAAACTTTTCTGAAAAATTTTCGACCCTAGGAACAAGTTTAGGAGAGGGTCTCTTGCCCCTGAAAGGGTTAATTACGTATAGTGGAACCCCGGTTTTCGTCTGGTTCGGTTAGCAATTCAGTTTTCGACCACTTTTTTGGCGAAATTTTCCCCATTTTCGTACATCCGCTAGGAAATAGTCCATACCAGACACGAAAGCTCATATGTTCATGACTCGAGTCTGCCTTTGATATTCGTTCAGTGAGCATTAGTCCGCACGTTCATCCGAAACATTTCGTAATAATCCATTGTTTTTTTGAGCTTGCGACTGCTAACAAGCCACCTTTGGTAAAGAAGGCGAGAAACGCTATCGAATTCAAGAAAGAACTCATAGAAAAACACGACAGTGGCATACGTGTGGCTGAGCTCGCCAGGATGCATGGGAAGTCCAAATCTATGATCAGTTCAATCCTGGCAAAGAAAAAAGAAATCAAGGATGCTGATGTTGCAAAAGGGGGGTAAATGTGCTAACAAAACGGAGATCGCCAACAATCGAAGATGTTGAAAAGTTGGTGTGGATCAACCAAAAACAGTTAGCGGGAGATTGTGTTGTGGAGGTGATGATTTGTGAAACGGCAAGGCAGTTGCATGCGGATCTTGTAAAGAAAATGCCTGGAATGAGTGCTGCTGTTAATGAATTTAAGGCCATCAAAAGCTGGTTCAACAGATTCAAAAAGCAAAGTGGCATACACAGTGCAGTAAGGCATGGCAAGGCTGCAAGTTCAGACCAATGTGGGGCTGAAGAATTCCTGGGTGAATCCAAGGATTATGTAGAGGCCGAAGGATTCATTCCCCAGCAAGTGTGACGAAAAAGGCCTCTTTTGGAAGAAAATCCTGAAGAGAACATACATCACACAGGAGGAAAAGGCACTGCCAGGACTCAAGCCTATGAAGGATAGGCTAACTTTTGTTCTGTGGTAATGCTAGTGGGGATTTCAAAGTGAAGCCTTTACTGGTGTATCACTGAAAATACCAGCATGTTCAAGAAAAACATCAAAAGTAAACTGTGATGTGGAAGGCTAACAATAAGGCATGGGTCACAAGGCAAATTATCACTGAGTGGGTCAATGAAGTGTTTGGCCCTAGTGTGAAGAAATATCTCCTGGAAAATAAATTGCCACTTGAGTGCCTCCTGGTTATGGACAATGTTCCTGCTCATCCTCCAGACTTGGAAGACCACTTGTTGGTCTTCCAAGGGCTGGATGAGAGGAATGGTATTACCACTCCTCTCATCCGGCCCATGGACCAGCAGGTCATTTCAAACTTCAAAAAACTACACCCAAGCAATGTTTCAAAGGTGCTTTGAAGTGACCTCTGATACTGAATGGATGCTAAAAGTTCTGGAGGAATCACTTCCACATCCTCAATTGAATATGCCTTATAGATAAGGCTAGCCAGGGAGCGACTTCCAGGATGATTAACTCTTCTTGGAGAAAATTGTGGCCAGAAGGATTTTGAAGGGTTTGAGGCTGACCCCTGACAACCCTATGCCTGTTGTGGAATCTATTGTGTCTTTGGGGAAGTCCATGGGGTTGGAGGGAAGTGGCCAGGATGTGGAAGAGTTGGTGGATGATCACAGGGAAGAGTTAACCACTGAAGAGGTGCAGGACTTTCATCTGGAACAGCAACAGACCTTACCCGAGGAAATTGTTTCAGGAGGAGGAGGAGGAGGAGGAGAGGAAGGGGAGAATGTGCCTTCTTCAGCAATTAAGAACATTGTGCAAAGTGGAGTAAGGTGCAAAGTTTTGAGAAGTATCACCCTACCAAAGCTGTTGCAAGCCATGTCAGCAACATGTTCAATGACAATGCCTTGTCCTATTTTAGGCAAATCTTAGAGAGATGCCAGAAACAGGCCTCTCTGGACAGATTTTTTTGTACAATGGGGGTCCAGCGACTCAAGCTGGTCCTAGTGGCAGTAAAAGACCAAGGGAAGTAACCCCAGATAGGGCTTTGATACCTGAAGTCCTTATGGAGAGGGACTCCCCTTCCAAGCAATAACCTCTCCTCCCTCCCTCCCTCCATCCCTCCTTACCTTTCCCCTCCTCGTCATCTTCCATACACCAACAAGTCTTTATTAAAGGTAAAAGTGATGTTAAATGTACATTTATCCATTTCATTAGTTATTTATATATATTTCATTGTTTTCTGTATATAAAACTATAGTTATTCTCTATAAAATGTATTTTTTGTTAACATTTTTGGGTGTCTGGAAGAGATTAAATAGATTTACATTATTTCTTATGGGAAATATTACTTCAGTTTTCTTACAAATCTGTTTTCGGCAGACCTTCTAGAACAGATAAACGATGAAAACTGGGGCTCCACTGTATATAGTTTCCAGTGATGAATATTCCCAAACTGAATATTCCCAAGTTCAATATTCCAGTGTTGAATATTCCCAGTAAATTTAAGTTTGCATCAAAAGGAGAGCTGTAGGGAAGGCCACAGCTCTTATTCTTTAAGAAATTCCACAAGCAGCATGGAGGAGGTAACTAAAATCAGTTTAATAGAGAAACAGGTGTAGGGACACAAGGTTATGTATGGAGGCAGGCAACAAAAAAGAGTCTTAAAAGCGTTAAATCCATAGGGGAGGGGGTCACACTGTCTGGGAAATGTGGGATGACCAGACCCAAGAAAAAAGGAGGGTAGATCCAATTCCTTGGACCAAGAGCCATACACCAGCATGAAGGAACCCTCAATTCATCAAAGAAGGGGTAAGGATTAACAGTATAAAACAGGCAAAAAATGTGCGAGGAAGGTGTGCAAAGTATAGGCAAGCTGGACGCGTGTCAAAGACATGGAGATTAGGCATGGTGAATGACTTACCATTGTAGTCAAAGGAATTAGCATCAGCCCCGGCAGCCAGTAGCACCCCGAGTACACGACTGTAGCCGCCTTCAGCCGCTAGGTGGACAGGCGTTGCTCCTGCAGGTGGTTAGCAAAATTATTAGTAAGGGGGCAGAAGGGAGCCTAAATTTAGTTGGTAGTGAGGAAAGTCTAGCTTGATGGGTGGTGAGAGGGAAGAAAGCTTACTTTCATTCGTTAGGAAGTCAACCTAGCTTTCTTCGTCATGGAGGAAGTGAGCCTGGCTTTGCCAGTGGGAGCAAAGAAAAACAGGGATAATCAGAAAACATAAAAGGTAGTATACAAGTGGTTGGGAGGATAAAGAAAGCATAAAGATACAGTATTATATATTAAAAGCAAAAATGTAATGAATAAAACTAGGAATTACTGCACTGTAGTCATTAAAAGCCTGCTCTGGTTGCAAGGTTAGATTCATTCAAGGATTAGTGTAGTTAGCATAGAAACTCACCTGCATCCCCACCATGCTTGCTTATGGCATTAACATCAGCATTATGAGCAAGTAGCAATTTGACAACTTCAACATGGCCACCAGCACAGGCATGGTGTAAAGGCTCTCTGTTTCCCTCATCATGTAGGGACGATACCGGAGCCCCCTCCTCTAGTGCCCGCTCAACCCCTTCTGCATCTCCCACCTTGGCACTGCTTTGCTGGAAGTAGAAACACGGTACAGGGTAGTAGATCTGTATGTTGAAGGTGAAAAAGAAGTTCCTCAATTTATAATAATAATATCTTTCTACAAGTACATGTACAAGGTATACAGGCCTAGTTGACATCAATTGACTACCAAGTTTATTCTCTATAAAGATCAGAGGCATTGTAAGGGGGGGGGGGGCTGCCCTGGGTGATGCCATTTAGGGGGTGACACCACAGAGCCTCTAAAGAAAGTGACACTAATGCCCAAATTGTGCTGCACCAACATAAGAGAAGAAGCCTTCGTTTCTATGTAGCCTATTATATAATAAGTACAAATAAGCCTATAAAGGGAAAATCATTGATTTTGATGATGTGATAAGAGGATTTTGCATAACTGAAGGCAAGGAAATGTAAGATCAGATTCACCGAGATGTTACCTGTACTCAAGGTCAAATCGGAAAAAGTGTTTCTCTGATATTGCAATGTTTTTCTTTATTTTTCAAGTTGTTTTTGCATTGCTGAAGATAAATAAATGTAGGATCTGTTGCCTGTACTCAAAGTGCTATTTGTTTCCTCAATATTACTATGCTTATTTATAATTTTATCATTAATAAAGTTGAGAAGTATTCTCCTGTTCAGTTTATGGCCCTTAAACGTTCTCATTGCTAAACATTTGTCACTGACTAGTCATCAGTAGTGACGTAACTAGAGTTTACCCCTCCAATCCCCCCCGCCCTTGAATTTCATGGGGATGACACCAAAGATGCTGCCCCAGGTGACACCAAGGATTCCACCTGGGTGACACCAACTCAAGCAATGCCTCTGATAAAAATTACAATGCAGGGTTTATATAATATAGGATATTGTGTGGTTTACATATAAAATACTAATTACAGAGGGGGCCACTATCACACCTAGTATGACTAGGCATTTCGGGCAGACTAAGATTAATTCAAAACTATATTGGTACAGATCATGGAGCATATTGGTATTAAAGCTAAATAACTGCATTACATGTAGGTAGTAGGTTGGTAGACAGCAACCGCCCAGGGAGGTACTACCGTCCTGCCAAGTGAGTAAAACGAAAGCCTGTAATTGTTTTACATGATGGTAGGATTGCTGTTGTCTTTTGTCTGTCTCATAAATATGCAAGATTACAGGCAAGTCTTGCTACTTCTACTTACACTTAGGTCACACTACACATACATGTACAAGCATATATATACACACCCCTCTGGGTTTTCTTCTATTTTCTTTCTAATTCTTGTTCTTGTTTATTTCCTCTTATCTCCATGGGGAAGTGGAACAGAATTCTTCCTCTGTAAGCCATGCGTGTCTTAAGAGGCGACTAAAATGCCGGGAGCAAGGGGCTAGTAACCCCTTCTGTATATATTACTAAATTTAAAAGGAGAAACTCTTTAGTTTTTTCTTTTGGGCCACCCCACCTCAGTGGGATACGGCTGGTACGTTGAAAGAAGAACTGCATTACAGTCGTAAATTTAGCAATGTGAATGGTTTTGTTTTGGTACGATACAGTTTCTATTGAAGCTCTTATACTAGAGTATCACAGGCAAACTTATGAATAGTTTAAGATTCACTAGGCAATAGTTTTATTACATATTTCTCTATAGTCAATTGGGCAAGTGTGAATTGTGGGGAATCACAGATATAGAGGGAAAGTCTAGGTTGTTTTTTATGCATGTATGATACAGGAGAATAGGTGGTTTTCATGTAGTTAGCCGATGGTGGGGCGTGTCATGGAGACAAGAAGTTTTCTAACGGTAGTTTTGAAAGTGATAATTGTGTTTGCAGTTCGAGTTTTCAGGTAGGGTGTTCCAGATTTTAGGTACTTTTATGTACACACAATTTTTGTATAGGTTTAGCCGGACACGGGGAATGTCAGATTTTTGTGCCTGGTGATATGCCTGTGGGTCCTATCAACTATCAAGAAAGTGTTTTAGGTCAGGATTAATATTGGAATTTAAGGTTCTGTAAATAGGTTGCACAGTAGTAAGTGTGGATGTTCTGTACAGTGAGTAAGTTTAGATCTATGAAGAGGGGTGAAGGAGTGTTGCCTGGGACTGGATTGCATGATTATTCTTACTGTGGCTTTCTGTTGGGTTATTATTGGCTTTAGGCGTGTTGCTGCAGTTGATCCCCAAGCACAAATAGCATAGGTGAGGTAGGGACAGACGAGTGAATAGTACAAGTGAGGGCTGATTGTGGCACGTAGTAACGTATCTTGGAGAGGATCCCAACCATTGTGGATACTTTTTTGGATACTGTATAGAAAGCCGCTTGTTATGCCGAGCATTTCGGGCAAATTAGGTCAGTTTTGTCCCAGGATGCAACCCACACCAGTTGACTAACACTCTGGTACCCATTTTATATTGATGGGTGAACACTGACAGCAGAGGTTTCATGGAAACACACAATGTTTTCCAGCCATACTGGGGATTCGAACTCCGGACCTCAGTGTAGGAGCCGAGTGCGCTAGAGATCGAGCTACAGAACGCCAATAGGGACACTATATACTATGGGGAGGATGTTGGGCATGAAATTTCACCTTCCAATTAAGTACATACTGTGATGAAGCTTAAAGGTTTAACTGGAAGGTGAAATTTCTTACCAAACATCCTCCCTATACAGCCCCTGTCAGTGTCCCATAGCACAATTGCTAACATCTCTCACACTGAGGTCCAGAGTTTGAATTCCCGGTACTGCTGGAAAACATTAGGACACGTTTCCATAAGACACCTGCTGTCCATATTCTTTTTCTTTCTTTCAACACACCGGCTGTATCCCACCGAGGCAGGGTGGCCCAAAAGGAAAAACGAAAGTTTCTCCTTTTACATTTAGTAATATGTACAGGAGAAGAGGTTACTAGCCCCTTGCTCCCGGCATTTTAGTCGCCTCTTACAACACGCATGGCTTACGGAGGAAGAATTCTGTTCCACTTCCCCATGGAGATAAGAGGAAATAAACAAGAATAAGATGTAGAAAGAAAATAGAAGAAAACCCAGAGGGGTGTGTATATATGTGCTTGTACATGTATGTGTAGTGTGACCTAAGTGTAAGTAGAAGTAGCAAGACGTACCTGAAATCTTGCATGTTCATGAGACAGAAAAAAGGACACCAGCAATCCTACCATCATGTAAAACAATTACAGGCTTTCGTTTTACACTCACTTGGCAGGACGGTAGTACCTCCCTGGGCGGTTGCTGTCTACCAACCTACTACCTATTGTCCATATTCATCCATCAATAAAAAATGGGTACCCAAGTGTTAGTCGACTGGTGTGGGTTGCATCCTGGGATGAAACTGAGCATGTATCTTGCATGTGTATATGTTGCTCCTGTACTCTGTACTCTTGCTAAACCAGGTTTTAGAAGGTTCAGAATCAAGCTCCTGTAAAAAACTTCTCTGACAGAAAACAGAAGTGTGATGGTGGGTTAAAATTTTTAATAGACCCCTGGCAGTCTTCAAGCAGGCACTGGAAAATCACCTAAAGTTGGTACCTGACCAGCTGGGCTGTGGCTTGCATGTTGGATTGCGTGCATCCAGCAGTAACAGCCTGGTTGATCAGGCTCTGATCCACCATGAGGCCTGGTCACAGACCGGGCCGCGGGGGCGTTGACCCCCGGAACTCTCTCCAGGTAACGGTCTACTCAAAATTTAAAATACTTGTATAGTATATACAACAACTTACCAGTTTGTATTGAAGATCTGCCATTATGTGGCTTTGTCTTTATCTGATGATGCAGCTGTACCGTCAGTCAGGTAGAAGCCACAGCTGTCTATCCTTCCAGTTAGCTGGATAGCTGTTGTCAGCAGCAGCAGCCACTCCAAATCACTCGTGCACACACACACACGTACCAACAGCTGTCAAATGGAAAACCGAATTAGCCAACATATTGTCTTGTCTTCTTAAACAATATTCATCAGTTCTCACCAAATTAATAAAGAAAGCCAAACAACTGTACTACTCCAGCAGATTCACTGACACAAGAGATACAAAAAAGACCTGGAAAACACTTCCCCAGATTCTGAGGACCCACAAACTGAAAAAAAAAAACAAAGAATATTGTCCTAACTAAACCTAACAAAACAAAACTGCATCCCACAGATACAGCTAACAAGATAAACTACTTCTCAAACATAGGATATGATCTCGCCAGTAAAATTCCACGTACCAACGCCCGTGCCGGGGACTACCTAGATGGGAATTTTCCAAATTCTTTCTATCTTGTACCAACTGAGCCCATGGAAGTCACCACGATTATAAAGTCACTCGAAAATAACTCAGGGAATCTGTCTCGCATCCCACCATGCAAGCGGCCCATGTCCTTTCGCATGCTATTACATTACTTTTTAACAAGTCACTAGAAACTAGCACTTTCCCGACACTACTCAAGACAGCAAGGGTTACACCAATACATAAAGGAGGTGACCCTACAGATGTAAACAACTATAAGCCAATACCAAAGTTAGTCATGTCCGACTAAACCTTTAAAAAAAAATTCAGTGTATGTCAAAGGCCCTAAATTCTGGAACACCCTACCTGAAAACTCTAGAACTGCAGACACATTCATCACCTTCCAAACTACCGTTAGAAAACACCTTATCTCCCTGATATACCCCGTCAACTAACTACATGTAAACCACCTGGTGGTTCACACTTACACTCACTCACCAATTTAACTATAAGCACAGAAATACGCATCTTAATCTCAAAATAATGATTCCTAACTAGTCATAAGTTTGCCTGTGATACTCCAATATAGAAAGTATGTATTGTGCCAAAACAAAAAGCATTCACATTGCTAAACTCACAAACCAGTATTTAGTCACTTAGTATTTAGTCAACTTACTCCACATTATTATTATTATAATCAATGGGGAAGCGCTAAACCCGGAGGATTATACAGCGCCGGGGGGGGGGGGGGTGTGGAAGGCATTCAGGCTTAATTCGGGGAACTGGAGCACAGATCCAATTCCCTAAATCAAGAGCCCCTCACCAACATCAAGGAACCTTCCTTGAGGGGAACTTACTCCACAATTTGTAATAATTTAGGGTTAAGAATTAATCTAAGTTTGCCCAAAATGCCTAGCCATGCTAGGTGTTCTAGTGGCCCCCTCTGTAATTAGTGTTTTATTACATGTCAACCACACAATAACCAAAATTTGTAAACCCCGCATTGTAATCCTTATAGAGAATAAACTGATTTGATATGCATGGAAATTCCACATTTACAAGACAAATTTTAACCTCCCACATCCTCAAGCAAAAGTTAAATTTCTTCTTCCCGCATGAAAACTTCTGGGTGGATCATATAGTACAGATTAGGCCACAAGCCAGGATAAAGTTAGGGGCTGCAGGGAGTCAAGTCTCTGCTCTTGACCCCATCTCATACCTACTCCTCTTAACGGTTTCACTGTCAGGACCCCTCAAAATTAAGTGCTGATAGTGCCTCGATTAAAAAATACAGTAGAATCTCCATTTTCGTATGCCCCAGTTTTCGCAGGATTCAGTTTTCAATGACTTTTTCCATTGAAATTTTGTCCCAGTTTTCATGCATCACCTCGGTTTTTGTAGCTGAACCACTCAAGTGCCGAGTGACTGTGTTTATCGTCGAGTGGACAACCACAGGGAAGAGCTAACCACTGAAGAGCTGCAAGACCTTCAACTGGAACAGCAACGGACTGCAGCCGAGAAAATTGATTCTGAGGAGGAGGAAGAGGGGAGAATGTGCCTTCTTCAGTGGCTAAGGACATGTGTGCAAAGTGGAGTGAGCTGCGAAGTTTTGTGGAGAAATATCACCCTAAGAAAACTGTTGCAAGCCGTGTCTGCAACACTCAATAACAATGCCCTCCCATTTTAGGCAAATCTTAGATAGGTGCCAGAAACAGACCTCTTTGGACAATTTTTTTGTGTGACAGGGGTAGTGACTCGAGCTGGTTCTAGTGCCAGTAAAAGACAAAGAAGGGAAGTAACCCTGGATAGGGCCTTGATACCTGAAGTCCTTATGGGAGGGGATCCCCCTTCCAAACAATGAACTCTCCTCCTCCCTTTCCCCCCCTTGCCATCTTCCATATGCCAACAAGAGTCTTCAATAAAGGTAAAAGCAATATGAAATGGATAAATCAACATTTAACTAGTCATTTATATTTCTCATTGTTTTCTGTATGTAAAACTAGTTCTCTATAAAATGTATTTTCTGTTAATATTTTTGAATGTCTGCAAAGGATTAATTGAATTTACATTATTTCTTATGGGAAATATTGCTTCAGTTTTCGTAAAATTCGGTTTTTGTTAGACTTTCTGGAACGAATTAATCATGAAAACCGAGGTTCCACTGTATCTAAAATATGGAACCTTTTTGTAATGGTAATATCAAAAGTATAAAATGTGATCAAAAACTTCTTATGTTAGCAAAGTCAGCAAACCTTGATCCCCCAAAGAATAGCAAACGTCCGATGAAACTGATTAATAGAGGGAAGGGGTATCCACACAAGTGGAAAAATTGTTATACAGCAAGTTAAGAGTTATAAGTAAGCAAGTTTATTCAGGTATACACAAATACAGTTACATAGAATTATCATACATAGCAGCATATGTGTACAGAACCTAGGATAACCCAAAAAAGTCAGACTGACTTATTTCCATTGGGGTCCTGTTACCTTATTATTATATAAAGGTTATAATATTTTCTTATTATTCTATAATGAAGATAACATCTTATTATCATACTAAAAAGACTATCTACTACACGAAGGTCATTAAGACAATCTACAATAGGAGGGTCATTACTAGGAATAAGGTAAAAATTTACACGTATGTTGGCTAAAAACTAGAAAATCATTCCCCTCCCTTTCTGTAGCTACATTTATCAGACACCTTTTGGCACTCTTCTTGAACTGGTTCATGCTATGACTGGCTTTGACATGTGCGGGCAGTCTGTTCCATTCCTTTATTGCTGTACAATGAAAGGTGTTTGAAGCCTGGCCATTGATTGTGGGTACTACAAAGTTGTGCTCTCTCCCCCTATTACTACCTGGAGTTTACCTGGAGAGAGTTCCGGGGGTCAACGCCCCCGCGGCCCGGTCTGAGACCAGGCCTCCTGGTGGATCACAGCCTGATCAACCAGGCTGTTGCTGCTGGCTGCACGCAAACCAACATACGAGCCACAGCCCGGCTGATCCGGAACTGACTTTAGGTGCTTGTCCAGTGCCAGCTTGAAGACTGCCAGGGGTCTGTTGGTAATCCCCCTTATGTGTGCTGGGAGGCAGTTGAACAGTCTCGGGCCCCTGACACTTATTGTATGGTCTCTTAACGTGCTAGTGACACCCCTGCTTTTCATTGGGGGGATGGTGCATCGTCTGCCAAGTCTTTTGCTTTCGTAGTGGGTGATTTTCGTGTGCAAGTTCGGTACTAGTCCCTCTAGATTTTCCAGGTGTATATAATCATGTATCTCTCCCTCCTGCGTTCCAGGGAATACAGGTTTAGGAACCTCAAGCGCTCCCAATAATTGAGGTGTTTTATCTCCGTTATGCGCGCCGTGAAAGTTCTCTGTACATTTTCTAGGTCGGCAATTTCACCTGCCTTGAAAGGTGCTGTTAGTGTGCAGCAATATTCCAGCCTAGATAGAACAAGTGACCTGAAGAGTGTCATCATGGGCTTGGCCTCCCTAGTTTTGAAGGTTCTCATTATCCATCCTGTCATTTTTCTAGCAGATGCGATTGATACAATGTTATGGTCCTTGAAGGTGAGATCCTCCGACATGATCACTCCCAGGTCTTTGACGTTGGTGTTTCGCTCTATTTTGTGGCCAGAATTTGTTTTGTACTCTGATGAAGATTTAATTTCCTCATGTTTTACCATATCTGAGTAATTGAAATTTCTCATCGTTGAACTTCATATTGTTTTCTGCAGCCCACTGAAAGATTTGGTTGATGTCTGCCTGGAGCTTTGCAGTGTCTGCAATGGAAGACACTGTCATGCAGATTCGGGTGTCATCTGCAAAGGAAGACACGGTGCTGTGGCTGACATCCTTGTCTATGTCGGATATAAGGATGAGGAACAAGATGGGAGCGAGTACTGTGCCTTGTGGAACAGAGCTTTTCACCGTAGCTGCCTCGGACTTTACTCTGTTGACGACTACTCTGTGTTCTGTTAGTGAGGAAATTATAGATCCATAGACCGACTTTTCCTGTTATTCCTTTAGCACGCATTTTGTGCGCTATTACGCCATGGTCACACTTGTCGAAGGCTTTTGCAAAGTCTGTATATATTACATCTGCATTCTTTTTGTCTTCTAGTGCATTTAGGACCTTGTCGTAGTGGTCCAATAGTTGAGACAGACAGGAGCGACCTGTTCTAAACCCATGATTGCTTTGGTTCCCAACCAAAGAAAAAAAAAAAAAAAAAAAAAAAAAAAAAAAAAAAAAAAAAAAAAAAAAAAAGAAAGAAAAAAAAGAAAGAAATGAGCTGATGTAGGTAACATCTTAGCTTGCCAATAAAGTTAGGAATCCTTAACCTGTAAATAGCTTGTCAAAGCTAGGGATCCTTAACCTTGTCAAACCCTGTATATAAAAAAAAAAAGTAGGTAGTTGGGGGGGGTTGGGGGGTAGGCATACTGTACATGTACCAGACGCGGGAGACTAGGCAATACAGACTGGCACACAGGGAGGTGCCGGTCGGCCTGCCATGCGTTCGCTTCTTGAAAAATATTGTCTGGCAATAGTTACCAGTTAAGACGCAGAGGCATGTCTCTACCATCACACTGAATATGTACAGGTCATGGACGAAGCCTGAACCATACAAATTTGCCATTATTCACTCCCATTATTATTATTATAATCAAGGGGGAAGCGCTAAACCCGGAGGATTATACAGCGCCTGGGGGGGGATGTGGAAGGCATTCAGGCTTAATTCGGGGAACTGGAGCATAGATCCAATTCCCTAAATCAAGAGCCCCTCACCAACATCAAGGAACCTTCCTTGAGGGGATGTATTCACTCCCAGACCCCAACAAGACAAGATATCACACTCACTCCTAGCAAATTAGGATATTCTAGGGATGGGACGATACCAATATTTATTTGCCAGTGCTACCAAAATTAAACAATCTATATTGATACTTTGGCACACCCCCTACACGGCTCTTTACTAAACCTACCAAGACAGAGATAACGTGTCACTACCAGACCTAGTAAGCCAATCATAATTCATTACCAAGTACCTAGAATAACAGCTATCACTTCAGTAACAGATCTAAAAGTAAGATGACTATCACAGGCCCAGCAAGGCAAGATATCACGATTCACCATATATACATACCTAGCAAGCCATTTATTCACTATCTGACCCAGCAAAACAGCATATGAATGTACCTGGCAAGACAGTATTCACCATCACAGACCCAAGACAGGTTATCATTAACTTTCACAGGTGTAGCACGACAGGATACGATTCATTATTAGATCAAGGAAGCCAGGATAGCAAGAATATTACCACAAACCTAGCAATACATTTTCATATACCTGACAGGCCTGAATTCACTATCACAGACAGCAAGACAGGGAAGGTATCACGATTCACTACTAGATCAAGCAAGACAGGACATAACGATTTATTAGCAGATACTTAGTACGCCACTTAAGACCCAGTAAACAAGCGCACTTATTCAGGACATATCACGACTTAGCAAAATACGATATACTACCATAGACGTAATCTGAATATAGCTCGTGTCAAAAACACTTGTACCATCACGACAACCTATAAAATTTAAATTTATCGAACCTAATACAATCTTACTAACCAAAACAGTAAGACGGACAGAGCGATAATGTAAAAATTCAGATTAAGCGCCCCCACAGTTTCGCAAACATTTTTCGATTGAAAGTAACGAATTGGTTTGTGCAAGTTATTTGTGCAAAATTTGTTTAAATTTTGACTAAAGAATTAGAACGCCATTTTAATTATACAACCTAACGTAGACCAAGTAACTCAACCTAAACTAACGAAACCTAACCCAATAAGTAATGATCAGTCATACTTACATTTAGTTATAATGCACATTCGCCCCTGTCCACTACTTTAAAAACTACATCGTAATAAGTCCATGGATATGCATTACCCTCAAGAGACATTGCTTGAGTATTGGTATTATTATTATAATCAAGGGGGAAGCGCTAAACCCAGAGGATTATACAGCGCCTGGGGGGGGGATGTGGAAGGCATTCAGGCTTAATTCGGGGAACTGGAGCACATATCAAATTCCCTAAATCAAGAGCCCCTCACCAACATCAAGGAACCTTCCTTGAGGGGCTGAGTATTGGTAGCATCGTACATGGGTTTGCGAGAGGCCAGCAGTGACTCCGGGCCTGGTTGACCAGGCCGAGTCACCGCGAGACTATCATGGACGGGGCTGTGGGGGGCACTGACCCCTGCATACATCGGTCGGCCAGTCAGGCGCGATCACTGACCCGTCCTATATTACATTTTTTTTTTTTTTTACGAAAGATTTGTTTTTCTAATCTCCCTCCCAAATACTGAACGAATAAATTTTTATTTGGCCGGGCAATTGAAGGATTGCGTTAGATACGAAAATAGATTAATACGTTGTAGTCCCTAAACTTAAAATAAGAGGAACAGTAGACTGGCCTGCGTTAGTTTAATAAAATGCAACGAAAACTAATCACCACACACTACTCAATATTTGCATTTTTTTAAATCACGAGGGAGCGCTAAATCTAATGGGGGTCATGTAATGCCTAGGCTATAGAGGACATTCATGTTCGTTCCAAGGAAATGGGGGGGGGAAAGGAATGAGTCATGCACCGCATAACGACGTTTCGATCAACGAGCCGTTTATACGACGGTTCCATACAACTGGATATAGTACATACTTTGATAAGAATAAACAGCTAATGTTACCGTTTTATTTTTATAGTTTTGAAATTACGGTTAGCTCAGCGATTTAAAAGATTCAAGGACGAGGTGATGCAAAAATCAAGGTTGTGGGCGAGATGGCGGGCAATTTTAACCTGGGTGTGGATGAAGATATTGAGGGGCTCCTAGAGGCGGTTCTGCAGTAATTGACGTACGAGTTGCGGTTGGAAATTAAGCGGCGGGAACGAACGTAGAATATATCATATAGCCCAGGTGTGTAGTAGGCTATACCGTCTAGGTTTAAGTACATTCAATGACGAAATCGGCTAACGACGCATTTCTTACACGTATCCCCATCGTTAAGCGACACTACAAAAAAAAAAAAACTTTCTTAAATTAAGAGGACGTCGCCACCCATTAGTCAACATTTGCTAGCTACTTTGAATTAAAATAAACTCCAGCATGTTCTCCATTAACCGTCTCTGGTATAGATCACCAGGTCCACCCTCGTGTAAACAGTGCAACTCTCCACGTCCACCTTAATAACCTCCATCACTAGTACAACCCACCACAGGAAGCAGCAGCTGCAGCACGTCCTCCCTCCTCCACGGTGGGACGTGCACTGTCGCCATCTACCTCCTACTTCTTCACACCTCGTAATAATATTTTTAAATATAACTTATTCACATACTGTACAAATAGCGCCATAAACCAAATTTTCGACCCTCCCCCCATTATTTTTTGCTCAATATTACAATACTAATTACCTCTTTACAAACATTTTTAAATGTGGACAAAACAGTGAAAAATGCACATATATATACAAAAAATTTTCAGTGTTTTTCAAATAAAAAAATATATACATTTCTATATTCAAAGTTGAGCCTGAACATGCTTCTCTGTATTTTTTTGTCTTATTAATAAACAGCAAAAAATAATGGCAGTCATAATGGGAATATCGCCCATTATAAAGTTCAACTTCCAATATATTTCATGGAGAACTAATATTATTGTTACTTTTGTAATTTTAAGCTGACATTAGTTAATATAAGTTGTTTGAAAAGTCTATGCCACTGTGGTTGTTTCATGAGCTCACACCCACTGATTAATGAACTCACACCCACTGATTCATGAGCTCACACCCACTGATTCATGACCTCACGCCCACTGATTCATAAGCTCACACCCACTGATTAATGAACTCACACCCACTGATTCATGAGCTCACATCCACTGATTCATGAGCTCACATCCACTGATTCATGACCTCACGCCCACTGATTCATAAGCTCACACCCACTGATTAATGAACTCACACCCACTGATTCATGAGCTCACATCCACTGATTCATGAGCTCACACACACTGATTCATGAGCTCACACCCACTGATTCATGAGCTCACACCCACTGATTCATGAGCTCACGCCCACTGATTCATGAGCTCACACCCACTGATTAATGAGCTCACTCACTGATTAATGAGCTCACACCCACTGATTCATGAGCTCACACCCACTGATTCATGAGCTCACACCCACTGATTCATGAGCTCACACCCACTGATTCATGAGCTCACACCCACTGATTCATGAGCTCACGCCCACTGATTCATGACCTCACGCCCACTGATTCATGAGCTAACACCCACTGATTCATGACCTCACGCCCACTGATTCATGAGCTCACACCCAGAACCGTATACCAACTGGTGATACCAGAGTCCATGATACCAGCTACTCTTGGGTTGATCCACAATGTCCCAGGTGTAGCGCACCCCGGGAAGGACCGCAGTATCAAACAGGCACGAATGAAATATTTCTGGCCTAAGATGGCAGCGGACATTGCCAAGCATGTACACCAGTGTGTTGTTTGCCTACAGCACAAGGGTACCATTACAGGTCCTAACCCCATTCTAAAGTATCCCATTACAAAGGAGCCCTGGGAGAGAACTTCTGTCGACCTGTTGACGAACTTCTCGACCTCGGAGAAGGGAAATAAGCACCTGCTTGTAATGGTAAATAACTTGACGCGGTACAGTGAATTAGTACCCATTCCTGATAAAACCGCGGAAACGGTCGCTAGTGCTTTCCGTGAGCATGTTCTTCGTCATACTTGCCCACGTGTCCTTCTGTCAGACAATGGGTCTGAGTTTATAAATGGCATAATGCAGGATCTTTGCTCCAGATTCAACATTCATCAAGCGCCAGTAGCTCCACGCCACCCTGCGAGTAATGGTCTTGCTGAACGTACAAATCGCAAAGTCCTGGAGGTGCTCAGAGTAACCGTTAACCCAAGTTGTACTACATGGGATGAGGCTATCCCAGATGTTCAGTGTACATTAAATTCCTCCCTCAACAGCTCGATCGGTGAGACACCTCATTTTGCTTTGTATGGCTATGACAAGCGCTTACCATATGAAATTCTGTTTACTCCACCTAGACCTACTTACGATACTGATAACCCCAGTGTAGTAAAGATGAGGACAACGCAGCTTGTCTTCCAGCGGGTACGAGAGAACCTTATGAAAGCTACTGATAGGTTCACGTCTGAGCGCAATGCCCGCGCCAAGGAAAGCAAAGTGGAACCAGGTTGCAAAGTTATGTTGCTCAACCCAGTGCAGACCCCAGGTATGCACAAACTTGTCCCAAAGTTTGTGGGTCCTTACCGTGTCCTACGACAGCTCCGTGGCAATAAGTTCGAGGTGAGGGAGATTGCTACGGGAACTATCAAGGAGGCCCACCTTGATCACATGAAGTATGTGGACCATATGCAGGCCGAAGCAGAGCTGGAGGCGCGTGCGTTGCAACGCCACGATCAGACTAATGTTAGGGACAAACCGTCTATCCCTTCTCCCACTGCTACTGGTACGGAAGACGGCCCAGTAAGGCTCCATACTTATGGCCTGCGACCCAGGACAACAGTACATTTCTGTGACACTGACGTACCTACTGACTTGTCTGACTCCTACGCTAGTTATGCTAATTGTTTGCTTGCAGAAATGGGTATAAATGCACACACATTGTATAGCTAGTCGATAATAGTCAGGGTGGACAACATCATGTAATTATGTAAATACTTTTAGAAGGGTACCCAGAGTGTAATGAATTCCATGGATATAGTATTATTGTATGTATGTGCACCAGTGTTTTATAACTAAAGGAAAAAAAAACCTGTATTACGGTCAGGGCAGTGCTGCCCTCTGAGTCACATGTCACACCTTAGGAAATGCTACTGTCAGTCATTGTTTGCAGATGTGAGCGTGCAACAACGTTCGTAGACGAGTGGTCAACTGATGTTCAGCCCTGCGGACAACCTGTATATAGAAGATTTTAGTTCCAGTGCTGACGTCTCCGGGCTCTCTACTCGATGAAACAGCGCGGGCAAACCAGTTTTCTCTTCCCCTGGAGGGAGAGTTTTTCTTTGCCTGTTGCATTTTTTTTGTCCATTTTTGATTTACTAGTGAGCGAAAGCCAGTCCCTCTCTGGGGTAGCTAGTGTAATTCCTTTATACCTATGGGCCCACCAGTATTGTCGGCGAGGTGCGTGGCCGAGCAAATGTAGACAGCCTGTACTGTCAGAGCACACAGCCTAGCCGTCTGCTCTGACTAGTTCATATTTCGCGGCATTCAGTGCTGCCCTCTGTAGGCCTACCTAGGTCGGTGGGAAGCACAGTCCACCCTCTCTCACTCCTAGACCGACCAACGTGACAGACACAGGTGCTCCCCCTCCACGGACTGGCTTGCGGTCACTCCCTCACACTGCCCGTTGTGTACTCACTCCTACCCAATTAAAGCCAAACTAGTCCACGGCCGTATCATTGCTACCTGCGCTACCTTCATCGGCACTAAACCGCTGTTCAACAGTAAGAACAGCAATAACAGGAAGGCGTGCAGTGATGCCCATCGACGCTCACTGCCTATGACCACGATGTTTAGCACACCCCACATGTTTTTTCTTCCCTCCCTGTAGGAAGTTTTTTTTTCCATGTCCATATGTATATATATGTTTTTATTTTGTGTTCTGTGCCCTGTTCCTACGAGAGAGAGAGACCGAGTTTTTTTTACTACCAGTATTGTCGCGTCGGGACGACGCGCGGTAGGTGGCCGAGCGTATGTAGACAGCCTGTACTGTCTGCACAGACAGCCCATGCTGTCTGCCAGCTTAGTTTATATTTCGCGCCACTCAAGTGCTGCCATCTATAGGCCTTGCCACTTCAGTATGCCCAGACTTGCCTCGCTCTCACTCTCACAGCGGCCTAGCATCAAGACACAAGGCCTCCCAGCTCTCTCTCGTGGGCATGGCCGTGCCCGGGCCATGGGCACAAACACACAAGCCTGTGTAACCCACCTACGACTTAACAATAAACAAAGAAGCCTCCGAAGAAGTATATCATTAACACCGCTCTACAGCCTACCAAACAACCCCGTTATAAATGGTGACAGCGGTGCTCCGCAGCAGTTGTGTTTGCCTGGAGAGAGGGAGGAAGAGTTATGAAGTCATCTTCACTTCATCACCCTACACAAGAAGCATCCGTCTCTCAACGAGTTATCCTGATGTCGTGTCTGCACGTTTGAGCATCCAGACACAGGTACTAGCAGGATCCAGCCGAAATTTATCGAAATTCTCCGAGAATTGTGAGTGGCGTCACAGTGACCCCACGCTACAGCTACAGCATCCCACCGCTGTCACCACTGTTATTGCTGTTCTTACTGTTGAACAGCGGTTTAGTGCCGATGAAGGTAGCGCAGGTAGCAATGATACGGCCGTGGACTAGTTTGGCTTTAATTGGGTAGGAGTGAGTACACAACGGGCAGTGTGAGGGAGTGACCGCAAGCCAGTCCGTGGAGGGGGAGCACCTGTGTCTGTCACGTCGGTCGGTCTAGGAGTGAGAGAGGGTGGACTGTGCTTCCCACCGACCTAGGTAGGCCTACAGAGGGCAGCACTGAATGCCGCGAAATATGAACTAGTCAGAGCAGACGGCTAGGCTGTGTGCTCTGACAGTACAGGCTGTCTACACACTGATTCATGAGCTCACACCCACTGATTCATGAGCTCACGCCCACTGATTCATGAGCTCACACCCAGATTCATGAGCTCACACCCACTGATTCATGAGCTCACACCCAATGATTCATGAGCTCACACCCACTGATTCATGAGCTCATGCCCACTGATTCATGAGCTCACACCCAGATTCATGAGCTCACACCCACTGATTCATGAGCTCACACCCACTGATTCATGAGCTCACACCCACTGATTCATGAGCTCACACCCACTGATTCATGAGCTCACGCCCACTGATTCATGAGCTCACACCCAGATTCATGAGCTCACACCCACTGATTCATGAGCTCACACCCAATGATTCATGAGCTCACGCCCACTGATTCATGAGCTCACACCCAGATTCATGAGCTCACACCCACTGATTCATGAGCTCACACCCAATGATTCATGAGCTCACACCCACTGATTCATGAGCTCATGCCCACTGATTCATGAGCTCACACCCACTGATTTATGAGCTCACACCCACTGATTCATGAGCTCACGCCCACTGATTCATGAGCTCACGCCCACTGATTCATGAGCTCACACCCACTGATTCATGAGCTCACACCCACTGATTCATGAGCTCACACC